GTCAAAAGGCTTCTACCTGCTGGGGAGCAGAGCAGTAATGTGCATTGCTGCACTGCCAAGTCAATGTTAGCTTCTTCCAAATCTCCTCGTGACGAGGAGTACAATAGTCAACTTATACCTGCTGAGGAAGGCCCCGGGGATTAAAGAGGACAGACAGCATGGCGTTGTACAGATAGCTTAGAGTTATCCGCTCAATAAAACTTCAAAAAGCATTCCTGGACGTCCAAAGCACCAGCGGGTGTCGATGTGGAAGCCTCACAGGGGTATGGCAGTAGCCTCGGGGTAACAGGCAGAGCTCTGTTCGGTTCAGCCCGTCAGAAACAAACATCAAGCCGTTCACTGTGAAGTGCGGCACCAGACAGGTGGCATCATCCCGCTGTGCTGGAGCCACGCATGACAACGCTGAAGCGCGAATGGCGGATATGTCAAACAGACGATGAAATATCAGAACGCTCCGTTTGAGGGAACGCTACGGCGCGGTGAAAGGTCCTGTCTGTAGAAATTCATTGTCGAGAGATTTTCATTCAATCTGGAAATGGGACGTGCGATCCGATAAGGACAGGCAACGAGAGATGCCTGGCTGCAGAATCCACATCAGAAATGCGTTTATCTGAGGGGTGTTCAAAGAGCATTTCACCAATGAAAGTCCTAAACGAGAGGAGGAAACGGACAGAAGGCTGAAAGCAAAAGAGCCACGGGGTTCAACAGTTGAACATAGAAATAGATATAACATATTTTAGAAGCATGGTGGATAAAAGAACAAGCATTAATGAGGAAAAACAGGACTAAAAAAGGCAAAACTCAGGGTGACAAGTACGCAGATCAATAGAGAAACAGAGAAAAGCACAAGTTATTGATTCTCCTGTGCTGAAGCAGTCTGGGTCGAGATTTAGCAGAGAGCACAAATCAGACGTTGCTGCGTTAAGTCTGAGTGATCTAGCAACACGACAAAGAAAATCAAAAAAACTAAAACAAGCTTTGATTACCACAATTTTTGGTGCATAAGTTGCACCTTTTTGCATCAATTTGCAAGTCCTGTAACTTAATACACCGAAGCGACTAATATACATTTCCCCAATATTTACAAACCGATTTTGGCCGAGATCTGACGATTTCATTCATTCTGACATGGAAAATATTGAACACTACCATTTTCAGACACTAGAGGGCACTCAACTTCTATGGCAAGCCAAGTGTCTCATTAATAGATAAAAGTGACTATTAATGAGACACTTGACTTGCCATACAGAGCCACCTTCGTCTCGCTCCTGAACTCCTGGAGCAAACGTCAAATCAGCTGCATTTCGCCGCCCAGGAGAAATGCAGCTGATTTGACCAATCAAGTGAATTTATTAAGGAAAAGTTCAACAGAGACACAAAATGTTGAGCAAACAAATAATTCCAAAAAAGTTCAATCTGGTCCTCTGGACATTCAAAAAAAACAAAAAACAAAACAAAGCAAAAAAATCTAGAAACGTTTTGTCTCTCATCCAAGAGACTTCCTCAGTCTGAGGTGCTGTTTTCAGTTCAGTCTCTTAAATAGCACCTTCACAGAGTGGATCAACCAGTTTGCTGCTGACAACCAAAACCAGCTGATCACATGCTCAAGAAGGACCATCACCTTCCAACATCAGTAGAGAGGAGAGGGATGCACTCACCACTCTTAGCAAGGACAAAAACATCATCATTCTCCCAGCAGACAAAGGAAGGTGCACAGTGATTTTGAACCAGAAAGACTATCATGAGAAAGTTATGACACTCCTTAGTGACTTAACCACTTATGAACCTCTGAAAAGAGATCCAGGAAGTGGCTACAAGAAGAAGTTAATAGATTGCCTGAAAAATTTGGAGCAGGACAAGGCTATTGACCGTTTTCTGTACCACAGACTGTACCCAGGGGAGGCCACACCTAGTCTGTATGGTTTACCTAAAATCCACAAACAAGGTGTACCTTTAAGACCTATTGTTAGCATGATTAACTCTGTCACTTACAATGTTTCCAAATATCTGGCGTCTGTACTCATCCCTTTAGTTGGCAGCTCAGAACACCACATACAAAACACCATGGACTTTGTGGATAAGGTGAGGGATGTCATCATGGAGACTGATGAAACAATGGTCTCTTTTGATGTCACATCACTCTTTACGTGCATTCCTGTTGATGATGCAGTAGAGGTGGTCAGTTTAAGATTAAAATCAGACACCACTCTGAGCAGCAGGACCACACTTTCTACAGAACAACTGTGTCAACTCTTGAAACTGTGCCTGCAGTCAACCTACTTCACATATGGGGAGCAATATTATAGGCAGAAACATGGGTGTGCTATGGGGTCTCCAGTTTCTCCTATTGTTGCCAACCTGTACATGGAGGAGGTAGAAAAGAGAGCCTTGACGTCCTTTTCAGGGACACCACCAAGTCATTGGTTCAGGTATGTTGACGACACCTGGGTTAAAATTAAATCTCAGGAAGTCCAACATTTTACTGACCACATCAACTCTGTGGATAAATACATCAAGTTCACACGAGAAGATGT